GGGCCTCCGTGGCCCGGCACACGCCCCAGCCGAGCGAAAATGGTGGGCCGGAACAGTGCCATCGCCGCGGGCGTGTGCGGTGCCCTCTTCATCGGGTACTGCATCTACTTTGACCGCAAAAGGCGGAGTGACCCCAACTTCAAGAACAGGCTTCGAGAACGTGAGTGGGCCCTCGCGCCTCCTGGTCCCCTTAGGCCTACGCGCCCCCAAGAGGCCTCCCTGGCGTCACGCGCTGCGGCCAGGGTCCCGCCTGTGCCCTCGGGCCTCCATCTTGGAGGCGAGTTGGCTCCATCTTGCTGGCGGTGGAATGCACGCTTGGCTCCCGGCATGGGCAGCACTTTATGGCTGCCAGCTGTCTATATATATATATTTTTTTCCCTCTTTATGACGGGTTCTTTAGTCCTGGGTCGGCTTGAAGTCATGGCAGTCCTCCTGCCTTAGCCTTCCAGGTAATAGGATGAGTCACCTTGCCCAGCCTCCATTCACCACCGTTAAACTTCGGTGTGCGTGTTTGAGATGGGGTCCTGCTGTGCAGTTCACGATATCCCCGACCTCGTGGCAGTTCCCCCCTGCTTAAGCCTCTCGAGTGCTGTGGTAACAGGCACGAACCATCTCTTCCTATTTGTGTTTTCTGACTGGGGATTGCTGTGCTTTGTAGGGTGGCTTCGAACTCGTGGTGCCTCCCGTTGCTGGTTTTGCAGACCGGCGCCTGCATATGGCTAAACCAGTTCTTACCCCGAAAGTGTTATCTCTTTATGTTGAAGCATTTTGGCTAGAGCGTCAACCCGCAGAGTCAGTGCGGTGTCATCCTTGCATTCTTAAACCCTCTTGGCGGCTTCGCTCTGGTGCTTCCAAGATATGAGTGAATGCTAGAGAAATTGCGGGGGAGTCCAAAGGGCTGCGCTCCTCACGTGGTTCAGTCTTATTTCATACCTGCGACATCTTTGAAGAGGTTTATCGGAGGGAAATCACAGCACTCTTTTAAACAGCGTGATCCACCCTTGAATTTCAAGGCCCCGTTTTCAACAGTCCAAAAGAGCATTTGTTGGAATAATAAGCTTTTTTTTTTTTTTGGTTGTTGTTTTTGTGCTTTGCTTAGGCTGGTCAGCCAGTAGCTGGAGTCACTGTCCAGTCTCTTGGACTTCTTTAATTAAGCCATCCTAAATCACTTTTAACTTTTTCGTAGTTAGAGGTGATCGGAGATTTTACCACCTGTTACAGGAGTTCCAGCCTTTTTGAGCCTGCTTGCTCCCGGTAGCCCATTATTTTCATCATGTGGGGAGAATTTGTTTTTGTTCATGGCTAGATAGATACAGTAATGGAAAGAATGCTGCTTAGATTCAGACTGCGTTCTGGGACCAGATTGTTTACTGGATACCAGTGTCAACTCCAAATTTTTCATCATTGTAAAGTAAGGTAGTACAAGTTGCCTCTTGTCTGTTAGTGTACACCACAATTTATTCGACACATAGAGAAGACCCTTCCATAAATGCCCGCTGTGAAGTGTGACTGTTGGATAGATTGTACACAAGTACAATCTACTCAGAGATGCATTGGTGCTGTGTGTCTACACACATAGCTAAGCGGGTTATTTTCCTGGAAAGCCTTGTTGGAAATCCCGAGGAAATGGTTTTTGGTTGAAGAAATCATAAGCTGTCATTTTAGAAAAATTAGGGTTGTCTGGGTTTGTTTGTTTGTTTATTTGAAACGGGGATTCTGTAGACCAGGCTGGCCTTAGGACTCAGAGATCAACCTACCTCTCCAGTGCTGGCATTAAAGGTGGCGCACCACGCCCTGCTAACGTCGTTCTTTTCAAAATAACGTTTTCAGCACTTTCTTTTTACCCTTTTGGTGATGAATTCATGACCTTTTACAGGCTAGGACCTCCACCACTGCCCCTATCACGTTCTGTTCTAGCTGGTTTGTGGTGTCGGTGTGTGTATGTGTCCCAGCTTAGCCAATAACCTAATGATTTAAGTGAATTACTAACTGCAGCTGTGACAAGGCAAAACGAATCCATTCTTTAGGGGTTCTTAGTACCTTTGCTAATAACAGTATTAATGAATGTTAAAATTAATTTTTTTTTTGGTTTTGGCAGGTTTTTGCTAGCAAGTAATGAGTAATTGTCTTTAAAGCTATATAGTTGAGTGATTCTTAGGAATTTAAGTAGTTTGAATTAAGTAGTTTATATTTGACTCATTATTTACATCTACAATAAAGGGATAGTTTCTCAAGTCATTTTTATTTAATGAAAAGGGCCTTAAGCTGAAGGTTTAAGTGTTTAAATAATAGCTTGGGTTTGTGGTAGCTCTGAATTTATGCTTTGCATGGTTTTGTTTTGAGATAAGATCTCTAATCGTGGCTGTCCTTGAACTCTGCCTCAGGTACTGGTATTAAAGGCCAGTGCCACAAGGTCTGGCTTACATGTTTGTTTGAGTTTTATTAAGTAGATATAGTTGTTTAAACTCTGTCGGTTTACAGATGTCAAGTAAAAAAGCAAGACCAGATTTTTTGCTGATGACTGTAGGGTTTTTTTTTTCCAGTCTATTATCATCTGTCCCTTTATCACAGAGACACTTAATGAAGCTACACCCATGCACTGTGTTATTAAATTAGATGGTTATGGAATATTCCAATGGGATTCATTGCCTTTTTGTTATTCTCAAAATTCTGTTTTGGTACGTTGTATTTTTTACTGCTTATTAATTACACAATTTTGCTTTGTTTTTGAGGTGTGTTTCATCTGAATGGTGTGTCTATGTATAGTGTCTGAAGACAAGGGATCCGAAGATGCTTGAGTAGCCGGGCCATGGTGGTGCATGCCTTTAATCCCAGCACTTGGGAAGCAGAGGCCAGTGTGGTCTACAGATAGAGTGCCAGGATAGGATCCAAAGCTACACAAGAGAAACTCTTGTCTCAAGAAACAAACAAAAAGAATTGACCAATAGGTCCTTTAGTCTTATGTTGAGACTTGGATTCATAGAGTACTTTAAGGTTTTCAGAGACTTTGAAGTTAGATTTTCTTGCTTAATATTACTCAGTACATAGAGAGTCCTTCACTTGGATCACCTTGTTATTGTCCTGGTATAGTATTGAGTGAGTGTTACTTTCTAGGTCTTGACTAGGGGATGCCAAAATGGCAGAATATGAGCCTAGGCACTCTTGCCAAATGTTAACTCACAAGCCTGCTGAAAGCCCCATAATTATATAGCTACTTTTATTAGATCAATTTTAATGAGGACCAAATTACTGTACCTTACTCTAGTGCAAGATAAAACAAATGGGGCAGATGGTCCCATACACTATTGCTTTTTCTTTTGGGGCATGCCATTACAGAGCAGTGAGGCCGTTTTTAACTAACCAGCCATAGGTAATGCTTTCAGAGTGCATTTTGGAGCAGAACCGCTTGCCCTTCTTTGTTGTTGTTCAAACTGGGACCTTGTTGCATGCCTATAATCCCTGAACTTGAGAGCTGGAGCAGAAGGATCTAGAGGTCAGGAGCCTTGGCTGTGTAACAGATGCAGGCCAGCCAGGATACACAGAACTTGTCTCAAAAAACACACCAAGAAAACCACCCATGGTTTTACAAAACCATGTTGCTTAACAATGCTGCATAATTTTTAATAGTAAAGCTAGAATCTAGTATAATTCAGTAACAATCCCTTAATTCTTTTACCTCAGAAAGGGGGCTTTGTTCTGCTGGGGTGCAGCTGTTGGAACAGTATCTTGTGAATTGCTAGACCTGGTGATGTGGAGGAAAAGAGAAAGCTGCTATCCAGACATGCCAGCTCCCTCACCACAGACGAGGGAGTCAGGAATGGTTGCTGAAGTAATTAGATGTTTTAATTCTTTTGTTAGTAACCAAGTGAATTTTTATTTTTCTCATAGGAAGAAAGAAACAGAAGCTTGCTAAGGAAAGAGCTGGGCTTTCCAAGGTAATAAAATAGTTTGTTTTTGTGTGTAGGAGAGTAACTTAGACTGCAGGTTATCCAGCCTACTATACTTTCCTTTAATGGTAAAAAAAAAAATCTCAATGGATAAGCCTCAAGATAAGGGTCTCGCCTGGTCTCCAGAGCGAGTGCCAGGATAGGCTCCAAAGCTACACAGAGAAACCCTGTCTCGAAAAAAAAAAAAAAAAAAGATGAGGGTCTCTAGAGATGGGGGCTCCAAGAAATAAAAATTTGATTGTATTTTCCTTCCTTCCTTTAGTGTCCTTTAAACGATCCACACCTGTAATCCTAGTATTTGAGAAATTGCAGTAGGCATCCTGGGCAACATACTATCTTCAGTAGCAAAAGGGACCTTGTGTACTCAATGCCAAAGGTCTTTAAAAGTTTTTAAACTGCTGGGTGTTGGTGACCCATGCCTTTAATCCCAGCACTCTGGAGGCAGAGGCAGGCAGATCTCTGTGAGTTCGAGAGTGGCCTGGTCTATAGAGCGAGTTCCAGGACAGCCTCCAAAGCCACAGAAAAACCCTGTCTTGGAAAACCACTTGCTGAAGATTTGGGTTCAGATCCCAGCACCCACGTGGTGATTCACAGCCATCTGAACCTCCAATTAAAAAAAAAAATTAAACCTATGAATCAGGATTTTACCTGATTCTGATGGATTTAAAAAAAATTGTACCTTGTAGAATATAAATGACTTAATCTTTTTCTTTTCATAGGTCCTGTGTTCTTAATTTTTAATGACTACATAGGTTTTTTATCTGCTTGATTAAAACTATAATCTGTGATGTGTAAGTAAACTAAGTAAATGCTAGTCACTGTCCATGTCACTTCCCTCTTGCTGACATTCTTTCTCTGGATTTGTTTGGATCACTAATCCATTCTTTAAGAGCATGTTCAGGCAAGGATAAATGGGATCCATAAATGTTACACTTATGTTATTTTGAACCAGTTGAGTGATCAGCATAGCTAACAGGATATATGGTTCTAGAGAATTGAAACTGGGAATTGCTATGTTTTTCAAATATGTTCAGACTACTTTTCCAAGATGTGGGATACAGATAGGGAGATACCTTTAGACCTGTAGACCTGTGTGAAGTGTGAGAGTCTGATAGAGGCGTATTAGTGAAAGTTTGAGGGGTAGAACACTGGGCATTGTGTGTGCCAGGCAAGCACCCTACTCTGAGCTGTATCCTTTTCCCTGTCAGTTGCTTACAGTTGTTTATCCTAAAAAGTGTGATGATCAACAGATGCATAGTGAATATGCTGTCATTTTTCAGTATGTTCTGTCATTTGAAACTCAGTGATCCCTCTAAGGCCAGAGGTTTAAAGGTTTATGGCCAGCTTGGTAAGATCCTGTCAAAATAAGAAGAGGACTGGGAATATGGCTTTTCTAGTGTGCTAGGAACCCTAGGTCAACCTCAAGACCCACCAACAAAAAGTGTGCATCTTTGAATATATATGTGTACACATGTGTAATGCATAGGGAGAAGTCCTTTGGGTGCATATGAAAATATGAAATATGACAATAGACAATAAGATAATTTTGTATTCTTTAGTGTAGTCCACCCCCACCCTCCCAAGACAGATTTCTCTATGTGTATATCTCTGGCTGTACTAGAACTTTGTAGTACAGGCTGGCGTCAAACTCCCAGATCCACCTGCCTCTATCTCCTGAACCGTTTTAGGATTAAAGGTATGCCCGCCTCTTTAGCTTTTTTAAATTCAGGGTATTTGTTCTTAGAATGAGCGTACATTTTCTTTTTGGTGTATTGTTTTGTTTTGAGGGGTTATATTTTGAGACAGGCTCTCTGGCTCTGGCTGCCCTGGAACACTTGGAAGCACAGGCTGGCCTTAGACTCAGATCCACCTATCTCTGCCTTCTGAGTGCTAGGATTAAAGCCTACCACTGCCCAGCATTGTTTAAATTTTACTGGTTTTCTGTGTTGATTATATTCTCGTCTTAATTTCTATATACTTCTTTTCCAGTTACCTGATTTAAAAGATGCTGAAGCTGTTCAAAAGTTCTTCCTTGAAGAGATACAGCTTGGGGAAGAGTTATTAGCACAAGGTAATAGTCATTTCAAGATTCAGAATGTAGAATTAATTATTCATATTGATAAAAATTTATGGCAGGGTTTTCTTGCATAGTTAATGTTAGAAAAAGGATTTTTAAACATCAGCACTGCTGGCTTATCAAAAGATATTGCCAGTGCTGATTCAGAAGAGGCCTGGTGTCTGCTGGAGTAGGACCTGAGTAAGCAAACCAGTCATTCATCACCTTAGCTCTACATGACACAGTCTCAGTGCCTGGCCCTGGACAGGTTCTCCTGGTGGGCATTAGTACAACTTCTCAGAATCCCAGGAAAGGAACTGGCCATGTAAGTCAGAGTGATGGCTACACATACCCAGATGACAGTGGGCAGTAAGTTGGTAAAATATATTCTTTCCATGAATGAAGGAAAGTGATAACCTTTTTTTTTTTTTTTTTAATTGTCAGTGGTGTTGGCTATGATCAGTTAGTGACTTGATTTTGATGGCTTCAGGTAACATGTAGTTTTGTGTAAACTTACAGGTGAATATGAGAAGGGTGTAGACCACCTGACAAATGCAATTGCTGTGTGTGGACAGCCTCAGCAGCTGCTGCAAGTGTTGCAGCAGACTCTTCCACCACCAGTGTTCCAGATGCTTCTGACCAAGCTTCCAACCATTAGTCAGGTAAGCAGTTGAAGTGCTTCTGAGTAACACATGAATTGATCTGAGAACTGCATGCTCAGGGGCAAGTATGCTGAGCATATAATTGCCTATGCCAGACCTGGGAATGGTTTTCCTAATGATACACTGTACAGGTGACAAGCATAAGTCCAGGCTTGTGTCAGATGTGAATCATAATGTATGCACTTAGTGTTGAATCAAAGCCTTAACATTTGTAGAGTCCCTAAGTTCAGGCCACTTGGTTACTCCTGCTGGGAATGCAGTACATTTTGGAGCCCTTGCCCATTGTGCTCAAGGCTCTGGCATGTTTGTTAGGACATCATATCAAGCTTTCAGTTTAGTTAACTTACCAGGGATACAGAAATCAAGACTGCATAACCTGGATCGTCCTGGTGTCCCTATGTCAGGCTTGGTACTGTGCCTCTTTCTGCTGCTGTGGACTTTGAATTCAGTACTGTTTGGCTATACATCCCCAAATTTCTACTCAGAAGTGCAAAGGGTATGTATTAAATGATTAATATAGCTGAGTGTGATAGCATATGCCTGTAACCCCATCATTCTGCGATGAGGGGTGGGTGCTGAGTCAGGGCTGTTAGTGAGGTTTCATCTGAAAACATATTGGTTAAACAGTCACTATAGTGCATTCTGTTCATACCAATTCTTTCTAAGGAGTCCAGAATGAATTTCAGAACAGCTACTTCATGTGTTGATTTTGGGTTTGATATGGCTAAGCAAAGTGATGATGGCAAGGAAGTTTTCACAAAATTTTTAAGTAACTTAATAGTTTTTTCCAAATGTTTTTTTTTTCTCCTTTCATGGTGATGTTTTGCTTGTTAGGCAAAGGCTTTACCATTGAGTCACAATTTCTAGCTTCTTCATAGTGATTTTTAACAGCTAGATTTGGAAGAGGCCTGAAGGGAAAATTAGATTCCCCTAAAGATTTGAAGAGGACTTGGAAAACCAAGAACTTGAACTAAATCTTTTAAAGTTAGATGAATATGGTTCCATTCTTTTCATACCTCAAACAATGTCATGTTTGAAGGGATAGCTTCCGTAGTCTGTTTTGTGTTGCTGTAATCAAAGCTATTTCTGGGAATGCATAAGAATGAGTATTTGGCTGTGTGTCGCAGTGTGACACAGAATTGTGAACCAGCCTTGTGCAGAATGGGCATTGAAGAGCTAGGAGTGAGTGGTTACTGCTCATTCAGGAACTGATCTGGTGGAGAGTGGTACCTTGGCAGATCTCATCACTGTCCCCTCGAATTCAGCTCCCAGGTTCTCAGTACTACCACATGGTTGCCTGAACTTCCAGTACAGGAACTATGAGAACAAAGCAAAACCAGGTCAAAGCAGCCCGTAAGAATGTCATAGATTTGCCTGGTTGGCATCTACATTCTTCAACAGCTTGTATTACTACTCTGTTATATACAGATGTGGGGGGGGATTGTTAATTTTGTAATGCAGTATTGCTTCCTGTAGTGGCTGTGAGCTGGAAAGGAAAATGAAGCATAGAAAGAAGGCTTGGTAAGAGCTCTAATTGCTGGTTTGTGTGGGGGTGAAAAACTCTTTCATTTATATAATTGACAAACAGCATTTGTGTCATGTGCTTTGTTAATTCATTTGAATTTTGATATGGAACTGAAGCTTGTATGATCATAGCCCCCAACACCACCACCAAACCCCCCCTTCCCTCCTCAGAATCCTTAGTCTGAGATTTCAGGTATGTGTCACCATGCCCAGCTCATCTTTCTTTGACTTCTCAGATGCCATTGTGTAAAGTGCAGAATCAGTGTCAGAGTGGGAGAATTTTAGCAAGAATTGATTCTTTGAATGTGAAGAGCAAGTTGGAATTAGACACTTCTCAAAATTAATTTTCTTTTTCTTTCAGAGAATTGTAAGTGCTCAGAGCTTGGCTGAAGATGATGTGGAATGAGCCAGATTTCAACACGATAAAATCTCAGTTAAAAATGATTTAACCATTAGCTTGGAAGCTGATCAGCTCTGGGGGAATAAGGGCAAATATGCTTGTCATGAACTGTCCTACACTGAAGTCTACCAAAGTGAATGTGTACTTTGAGTAGATCCATTGTCTCTTCTATTTATTTTTTCCAGTGAAAAGTATTTTGATAGAACTTTTCATTTTATAAATATACTGAGTTAACCAAAATATCATGTATTTCGTTTATTCTTAAGACATGCAGTTCAGATGTAAATACATCTGAGTATTTACTTAGATTTACGCAGAGTTATTACTTAGCTAAAAACTCCCGGTGATGAATTTTAAAAGATTGGCAGAGAGTATGAAGGATAGATGAATAATGCCCATTTTAAAACACTAATACATTTTACTGTAAATCATAAAATTGGATAGAAACTTGTTTGTGAAAACTAAGCATTAAAATCTTGCAGATACCTTTTTTTTTTTTTTTTCTGTTTACTCTTTAACATGTGAAGTGTGCTGTGTGTTCTTAGCGATCCTGTTCTCTCCTGTGTTTCCTTAAAAGCTTCAGTCTACATCAGTGGCTTAATGTCCTGGGCACTAACTCGTAGTATTTCAAGCACCTGGCTGCAGATAGCATTGGGAATTCGACCTGGGTGAGCCTTGCCTGCTGTCTGCTCACTCTGCTCTTTACAGACTGAGAGGACCAGTCTGCTCATCTCTGGGGTAGCTCTTTCAGTGTGGAATTTACTTTGTTCTGTTGAGTGTCTTCAGGTGTGTTCCAGCTGGTGGCCGATGATTATTTCAGAACAACCAGGGCTTGCACCTGTTTATATTCTGAGTTTGCATGTTTGCCTGACTTGGTGTTTCTCAATTAAACCTTGAAGTGGAGTAACTTCTTTGTCAGTTGTTACTGCTGTGGAGTGATTCTGTTATTGTTGTGTAAATTAACCAGAAACTTGTCATTAAGGCAGCTCTGATGGTCTGCTTGGGAAAATATTGATTGCTTTTTGCTTTTAACAGTGTTTCTTCAGTCTTCCTATGGGTTGATCAATTTATTTTGCACAGTGATAGTGGAGTGTCATCTTGACTGGAGACTGGCTGAAGCAGGTGGGACCTCTTCTCAGATATCGACAAATCACCTGGTGACATGGACTGTTTCTGAATTGTGAAGACCTTGCAGTCTGTGCTGGTATCTGTTCACCGAGCAGCATTCTTGTGGGGCAGGTCATCTGCCTCCATGCCCTATACTTTTTTTGGCTTTGCTCACCTTTTCCTGGTAATACAGTAGGAAGAATCGAATCAGGCTTTTACCTGCCTCTACTTGGTGTGTGGATAGCAGCTTTGAACAGCTAACCTCACATGGGAACCTTGCTCTAGTATTTTCTGGTGGAAAGCCAGGCCTGGAGGCACACTTTAAGACCTTTTATAGGCCCTTTCCAGGCCTTTGATCCTGAACCTTTAAACAGTGCTTTCTTGGTAGGTATGCTTGTTAGGAGGTGCTACAAATAAAGTAAAAATGCTGGCTGAGTTTTGTTAGTAGGCCCTCCGATCCCAAGCATCATAATGGTGATTGGTCAGAGATTGAGAGACTGCACTGCCAAGAGTACTGCGTCAGCCCGGATATGGATGAGAACCAAAAGGAGAGTGGAGATAGGAAAGTGAGAGGTGTTTTGCAGTGTGCACTGGGTGGCCTGGCTCCTGGCAGTGGAGAGGGAGATACTGTCTTTACTTTGAGTTTGAAACCAAGACTTGAGTGACAAACGTGGGGCTTCAGCATTGTCTGAACACTAGCTATGTTTGTAGAGGTCTACTTTCCTCCACAAAAACAAATGCTGACACTATTTCTTCTCACCTCAAGTTAAACCGATGGAACCAGGAAGCCTTTGTGCTGGTCAGTGATGCCAGAAGGCAAGACTAACACTCAAGTAGTGTAAACAGCTTAAGTGTTGCCAGGGACAGTCAGCAATGTGCATGTTACAACATGTTAGCATGCTGCCTTGGCCATAGGTGTACTGTTGGGTGCCACTGTTTTTCCTAACTGAAAACATTTTAAATAGAACTGCCTGGAAAGGTGTGTAAATGCCCTTAATAGCATAGTGAGCATAAGTATGCTTAGGTAAAGTCCGGGTGTTGTGTTACTTTTATCTCCAGCAAGTTTGGTATTTATACCAACCATTGTCCACTTGCCTTTATGACCTTGAACCAACCTGTGGAACAGAGTATCAATGAACTAAAAACTATTAAGGCAGAAGGCATTGTGGGGAATTTGGTGTATGATATTGACAACAAATCTGACCAAAATAAAATCAAGTGTTTATTTCTTGTGCCTCAGCTGTATTAAAGGGTTTGGAGAACATTTGGCTTGGTGTGTATTTGCAGAACTTAATGCAGTTGATCTTGGTGTCTACCTAGGCAAAAAATCATGTTATTTTACCCTTATCCAATACAAGTCAGGTACTGTCTGTCTTTGTGTATGTGCATACGCGCATGTGCGTGCAATTAAAAAAGCTACAGTTAAAGGCATAGTGAAACAAACCTTTTAAGCCCATTAGTACATTAGGAGCCTGGCAGCAGGGTGAGGCTTCATGCAAAGATGCCAAATTTTGCCAAGAAGCAAGGGAGCTGGAAGGTGAGGAGTTGACCCTAGGGAATGATTGACCAGGCCTTCATTGGAGAGTAGATGGCCCTGACCTCCATGTGCAGGTGTGATGTGAACATTGTGGAGACAGGGACTTGCTGGGCTTTGAGTTGACAAAGCAGTCCTCTGGGTTTAGGGGGCGACTTTGAAGTTCCAGGGCTGAGCCTGTGTATTCGTTGACAGTGAACACCTGAGTGATAAAGCCTTGGAGAGACTAGGATTGGCACAGCCTTTGCTGGAGGTGCTGTCCATATCACATACTTGTTTCCTTTGTTAATTAGGACTCCACTAGCAGTGTAACCCTCTCCCTCACTATGCCTTTCAGTCTCATCTCTTGCCTAAGCCTCCTGGAGTTCTAGAATGTATCACTATGCCCATTTTGGGCCAGCGTTGGAATTAAATAAAGGTACTCATTAGTGCATGGTTGTAGTAGAACAGCTCCCTTGAAATTCATCAGCATAAATAAGAGTCTGGAAGGGGGAGGAACAGGCACACCTGTGCTCCCATCATCTGGGTGGCTGAGGCCCAATTATGAGTTTGAGGTCACCCTTGAGCACAGAGTTCTTGGACAGCTTTGGATTCTGGAGGCTGGAAGGTTCAGGATTTGAATTAAAAGTAAATTGACAAGATTGGGAGGGAGCTGGGTTTTTTGTTTCATTTTTTAAAATACTTTTGTGTAGTTTAGGCTGGCCTTGAACTCTTGATCCTCTTTATCTATGGAGTACTGGGTTTACAGGTGTGTGCTTCCATGCCTGACTTTATTTAGAACAGAATCTTACTATGTAGCCTTAGCTGGCCTAGAACTCAGATCCAGCTGCCTCCGCTGCCCCCAAGTGCTGAACAGGAATTTAGTAGTTCCCAGCCTCATCGTCAGTAGTGGTAGTATCAGAATTAGATCCTGTCACTGAGCCATCTTACTCTGGGTGTTTTGTTTTTGAGTCAGCCTTGAGCTTGAGTAGCTTGAAGATGCTGTAGTTTCCAAGTGCTGGGATTACAGGCATTTGCCTCCCATGACTTTGCTTCTCAAGAGTTTTTTGTTTGAGTTTCATAAAAAATTGAAAATTTTTGGCTTGTTACAGCAGAATTTTCAGCACTCTTGAAATGACCCTAAATATGTGTTTATGTGAAGTGTTCTCTGAGTTGATTATAAAGTTGAAATATTGACCAGCTCTGAAATGCTGAACACACTCTGCATCTTGCAGGAACAAATACCCATAATTAGTAATGTAAAAGCATATTCATCCTGTTCATATGCACCATGTCATTTAAAAATAAATACCCTTATGATTTATTACCAGTAATGTTTAATTCGTCTATTTCATAGGCCCTGTACCTGGGGCATGTAGAAATTTCTTGGGTTAACTGGTTGACCAGTGGAAAAAATTGAAGCCCCAATTTAAATAGCCATGTAAACAAGACTCCTACCAGCAGATTTGCTCAGCAACTACACCTGTGTTTTGCTGGGTGCATGGAGTGCAGTCTTGGCATGCACTTCCTCACCTCAAATTAAATTCCTTACCTTCATTCACAGACCTTGAATAGCTATTTGTAAAACATTGTAAGTGCAGAGTACAGAATCTTCCGGGGTCAGGATAGCACCCTTGGTAATTCTGCTTAGTGGGGATGATAGTGAGCAGCTGTAATTCCTGGCTAAAACAGGTAGGATTGCCCCAAGTTTGAGGCTAGCTGGGCTATACAGTGAGACTCTCTGAATAAAATAAGTCTTGGGGTCTCTGCATTGCCTTCTGAGTGTGATTTGTGAGAAAAGGGGAAGAGATTGGCCATTGATCTGCTGGATGAGGGAAGTGCTTAGGCCAAGACTGTATACCTGACCTCATGCTACTGGGAGAGGGAAAGGCAGAAGACATGGGTCTTCATGCAAGACATGGCTTCTCAGCTCCAGCGTGGGTATGAAAGTCTGTTGTGTCACCTTGAAGTGTGTCCTTGCATGAGATTCTCACTGGGTTGACCAATCCTAAGAGCAGATTGCTCTATAGTGTGGTTGGGTGACATCCAACCCAGGGAAGGCCTTGCACAGAGAAAAAAGATAGGCTATATCGTGTAGAAGGCCCAGACACTGCAGATCTGGACCTGCATGAGCACATGTCCCACAGGGTCTGTCTCTGGTAATGACAGTGCATCCTGCTGGCAGCCGTTCTTAGACCCTCTGCCTAAGTAAATCACAAGCCCTTCCTGCCTGTCCTGGCAGCAAATTCCTTGTGTGCTTTTGTGCCATCTAGTGTCACATGTAGGTATTGCAGGGTATTGGCCTTCCTACCTCTTAACTAGGGACAACTAAAGACATAGTCCAGACGATTGGTCTCCTCCCCACCCCATGCAGTTAGAGACAGATTGAAAGCTAATTCCATTTTGAAAGCTAATTCCATTTAAGTAAGAACAGGGCCAGGATGGGGGAATGAAGGGTGGTTACTGTTGCTGCATGTTTGCTATGAGTGAAAGATGAAAGTCTGATAGCTTCTTTCATTTTGGGACTGGTCCAAGTCATAATACTAGCCAGAGCCCTGTAGAAGCCATTGTCATAAAAAAACAAACAAACAAAAACCCATTGTCACAATGTGTCTGTCTGGACAAGGGGCTGGAGTTTTAGAAGGGGATGGGGTTATTTGCTGAAGGGCAGGCAGGGTGTCGGGGGAGCTAACCAGATCCTGTTTTACTGGGCAGGAGGGCTGCCCCTCCACTCGTGTTGAGAATGGCCAGGAGGAAGAGGGGAGTTGGGACTGTGCTGGTTTGGGAGGGAGGTGTCTCAAGGTTTCTAATTCATGTTCCCTGCCCTGCAGTTACCCAGGCAGGCTTGCTGAGCGAAGGCTGGGATGGGACTGGCCTAGGATGTAATGAATGATGTTTGAGGTGGTGGCCTCATCCTCTAGGAGTGAAGCTGCCCTGCAGCTCTGGATCTTCAGAAGGACTGAGCTAAGGCAGATAGAAGTGCAGGAACACAGATGGAATGTGGGGTTAGCATATGGGGCGGGGCCAGCTCCGGGATCCACCTCATGCTAGGCATCAGACACTGGGCAGATCCACCCCTTTTCCTGGTGGTGCTTCCAGGTGAGAGGAGCTGGGGACAGTGCTGTCACAGGTGCCAGAGGTCACAGAGGAGCAGCAGGAGGCAAGGGATTTGAGAGGCCAGCAGAGTGGCTTGAGGTTCTTCTCTGTATTGGTGGACTGCTCTTTTACCTGTCCCCTTGCCAAGCTGCCTTCCTCACAGTCAGCTAAAGTCATTGAAAGCTTGGCTATCTGTCTCAGACTCAGTTTACTCACCCACAAAAATGGAGGTTCCTATATTGTCTATTTTTGAGACAGGGTCTTCTGTAGCTCATGCTAGTCTTGAACTTGCTGTATGGAACAGGATGTCCTTAGACATTTGGTCCTTTCCTTCCTGACTGCTCTTGGATCCAAGCCTAGAGTGTCCTAGGCAAATGCTCTACTCCTGAGCTATATCCCCAGCCTGGGTACTGCCTTCTTGCCATCCAATGAAATGGGACCATATCTGGCCCCAGGTCCATTGCAGATGAAACTTCAGAGTTAGGGAGATGGAAGTCAGAGTCTGGTGCCAAGCCACAACTTCCTAAATCCAACACAGAATTCAGGTGACACAGTATAGTACTACAGAGGGAGGACAGTGGGGAGGACAGTGTTCCTTTTCAGGAAATCAACATAGAACCAGGACATTCACGACAGGCCCAGCCTTCTTGGTTTCTGGGGACTCTCTGTAAGACTAGAGCTTATGTGTCTTGTGATGCCATTTCGACCAGCTCTACTGGGCTGAGATGGTGGCATCCTCCAGCCACTGATAGGGGGCTTCTGAAAAAACCAGGAGTCCATACCCAGCCTTCCCTGCTGGGACTTCATGAGTCTGTACATTCTTACAGCATCTCAGCTTCTGACAACTCTTGACATTTGTGCTTGGGAGTAACCCTCTATTAAAGGACAGCAGAATCCCAGATGGCTGCCCTCACCCCACTTCTGTCTGTTGGCTTCAGCTCCGCATCTTTCCACATCATTCATTTGGACATTTAAAAGTTTCCCATCATGCTCTGAGTTGTCACAAATACTCCCATTGTTTGCAGGGCCCTGGAATGCTGAGAATCTCAGGGCACCAGGAACATGGGTCATGGCCTTTGTCATAGCTGGTGGCTGAGTAGAGCTTGAAGAATGGCTGGCCAGGTCCATAAGCTGCTGGCTTCATAAGGGGGTGTGGTGGTGGTGTGTGTGTGTGTGTGTGTGTGTGTGTGTGTGTAGTTTCACACTATAGCCCAGCTGGCCTGCTTCTACAACCTCAAATTCAAGGCAAGTCTTGTATCATGAGTGCTGGGAGTGCAGGCGTGTACCACTATCCCTGTCCTTAAATTCTCCTTGCACCAGACACTCCCATCTTTTCTCCCAAAATCGCTTCACACCATCTATTTAGGAAACATCTCTTGGCCATGCTGTTTGTGGCAGACAGGTTATCTCAGGAGATGTCAGAGAAGATAAGGCTTGGTGTATTTGATCTGCAGCCCCAAGGGTGTGTTATGGAGTATTGTGTGACATGTGTCACTAAAAACCTGAACAGCCATATCTAGGCAGGGTTTTCAGGCACAAAGGACACTGGGAAGAAGGAGTTGTGAGGAACAAGCAAACAGAATGGGCACAACAGAGATGAGGTAATAACGCCTCATAATAAAGAGACAATGGAAGTTAATAGAAATGGGTTTATG